CCCCCCCAACCCCCCCCCCCGGCTCTGTCTGTATCGGATTGCTGACTTCACAATAGGCCCTGAATCATCACTCCAGCCAGAGAGACACAGGGAGAGACGAGGAGGCGGGCTGGCCGGCGGAGGAGGAGGAGGAGGAGAAGGTGGGACAGACGGACGGGCAGACAGTAAGATGGACGGAGAGACAGACTGGAAGAATCAAGGACAGGGACAACGTGTGTCGCATCTGTTTCAAACATGTCGAGATGGACAAATGTGCTTCCTTTGGACATCTTAAATGCACAAATTGCATATAGTATTGGAACATGGCCTCAATAATACTGAAAAGTCAACGGGCTTGTTTGTCATTAAACTCCATCTAACTGTCATTTTTTACTTTGAGCAACCACTGCGAGCTGTCACACACACACACACACACACACATGAACGTTAATAGAGGCTTAATGGAAGGAGAAATTTGACTCTTGTCTTCACTTTTCTCGCGATTTTTTGAGAGTCAGTGATATGGAATTTTGATAATGGACTGATTGGTACAACGTAGGGAAATGAAAAGAATCAAACGAAATGAGAGAATCGGTTCATCGGTGAGAATCTCAAGCTGCACACGCTGCAGACAGGAATACAACCCGCCAGCAGAGCAGCAGAGGACGTTCTCCAGCATGCAGGGGAAGCAGGTTCCTTTTGACTTTTCTAACCAGCAAAATGAGGAAATATTGTTTGTTTACTTGTAACCAATCCCAGACGAGCTTTTGGCCAAAAGACCAGTCCGATCAGAAGGTTTGGCTGTGCAACAAAAGCATGTTATGTTTAACTACTTCAGGACTTCTGTTACACACATATATATATAGGTACTTTCCTAAATAATGAACTTCTCACGCTAAAATATCCAGTGGGCAGACGTGCAACATCTGGCAGTGACTTTCCTTGAAAACCCTCTGAGTAATCAACAAAGTGAGGAATCTCGGCTTGACATATTGCGCCCTGATTGACTTGCATTAAAGGAGCGTGGTCACAATACGAGGCCGTCTCTCCACTCAGATGACCTCAGCCGTCTCACACCGCAGAGAGTTTATGTGTATAACAGAGAGAGAGAGAAACACCTACACACACACACACACACACACACACACACACGCGGCAGACACTGAAGCACACGTATCATGTGGTTTCCTGTCTGGTGCGTTCTTCTAGAAAGCCCACGCCGGTTGCTCTGGGTTTTCTAGATGGATTCTCCAGTCTGTTTGGGAGTGGGGGGAATGGGGGGGGGGGGGGGGGGGGGTCTGTCAGTCTGTGATTGGCTGACAGGCCGTCTGTGACCTGCTCACCTCACACCTAGCTGGCTCTCCCCCGGCCGGCCAGACTCTCTCGCTCGACTTCCTTATATATGCGAGTCGAAGCTCATCTGAAGCAACTCAAGAACTGAATACGGGGGTTGGTGGGAAACAGATGTTTTGGTTGTTTCAGCTTGAATACAACTTATGTCATCACAAGGAGAGAGAGTTATTTTTCCATTTTCTCCATTGACAAATGGGTCCTTCGTCAAGTTTTTTATTTGGTTTTTAAATTTGCGGATGAAGCTAAAGCTTTGTTACACGCGTGAGAAGGTTATGAGAAGGGGTATTTTAAGAGTATAGTACTAATGATTAATACTATTCTAAAGTTAGTCTGTTGCACACAGACAGCAGCTGGTTTTATTAGCTGAGCATAAAGGCTTGCAGGGGGGCGGGAAACAGCCGGGGTCTCTCCAGGTAACGAAACGGTCTACCAACACCCGTGAAGCTCACTCATGGAAAGGACTTACCACCAATTGGCTGAGGACACACATACGCTCTCATCACGGAGGTCGGGCTCCCGTTGCTTCTCACGCCTGAGTCCATTGTTCAGAAGGTATAAAAGCTGGAAATTTGTGTGATACAACATGCACGGGGGGGTCTTGAGCCGGTGGATATCTCTTGTCAGGTACAGTATGTCCCGCTGTCAGTGTGGATTGGCACATTTCATAAATTAGAAGTGTACCGCCCCCCCCGCCCTCCGTCAATCACTCATCTGAAATCGCCTCCTGCGTATGTGGAACGCTCATCCCGAGAGGAAAGATTCGCTTAGAATATAAAACTCAGCATCCATATTTTGCATTCTTTTTTTTTTTTTAATTGCATCCCCCAATTCATCTCCTCCTGATGAAATCCCAAATAATCACTTTTATTACGTAACAGACATTACTCTTAAATAACGCCTTCCCTCACGGCGACACCCAGCTGTCAGCTGAACTCATAAATAAATCTCACGCGAATCACCGTGCACCCCGGCTGAAATTGAAGTGCACCTCGGTGCCACAACTAGGATGCCGGCCTGCTTGAGGGATGCCAGAGGGTCGTGGTTACACTCCTGCGGACCGTCCACATGCCTTGTCGCCGGGCAGATTTTGAAGCCGGCCGCGGATGACGCCAATGCACTCCTGGCGATCGTGGGTTGGGCCGTGCTCGCATTTAGCTACTGCTGCTGCATGTAAGTTTGTGTGAATGTGTCTGTATGGGGTTGTAGGGGTGAAAGAGGGGTGCAACATGACCCCGCTGCTCCTCTAACTTGGTCTCGCTCTCCGTCTTTCTGTCTCACACACACACACACACACACACACACACACACCGACTGGGACAGCTGCCATACTCAGGGCCTCTCCCAGCGCACCAGAGGAAAAGGCTACGGCTAAAACGGCCTTTTCTTCCCCCCCCACTCCTCCTCCTTCATCTCTCTCACTTTTTCTTTTTCATTCGGGGGGCCATGCATTTGATTCCTGCGAGGCCTCCCGGGGTCAACAAACACCGGCGCTCCTCTCGGCCAACGAGGGGCTTCTATCGGGGCTGTGTGGACTCCGTGTGCATGCTGGAGGCCTCGTGATGGTCTCTCTCTCTCTCTCTCCACTAGGTATCCGCTTAGCGGCTTTTACAAATCCAGAACTGGAATCTCCGTTAAACTTTTCGTCCACACGCCGTCATCTGTTTATCGCGTGGCTTGAAATACACCCAAAAAAAACTAAGCGCCATTTTCGCTAAAGCTAACGAAGCAAGTGACAACAGGTGGAGTGAGAAGGTTGGGGTGGGGGGGTGGGTGGGGGCACTTAAACAAACTAAAAGTAGCATTAAGAGGCTAACCACTGTTGGCCCTGCCTCAGGCTCCTTCCAGCGATCCCCAAGGACCCCCAGACGGCAGGCCGGCCCTCGGCAGGCAGGCGGCCAGAGAGGACGCCTGACCGTAACCCAGATGACGCGCGATGGATGTGGTGGGAAATGGGCGGGCTGGAGGAAGTGAGCGACGGGGTGACGGTGGAGGTGGTGGTGGCGGGTGGCCCTCTATAAGGTTTAGAGGGGAGGAATGGGGTATCACCTTTCAAAAGACAACTCCCCGAAATTTTGTGTGTGAGGTCCGCGCTGTTTTCTCAGTCACCCGACACACGCCGATCGCCACGATGCAGAAAGAATTAGACACTTTCAAAGAGGACAAACACACAGAGGAAATGCATCACGATTATGGAATCAGTTCCCAGATTAAAACCTTCAACATTTAATGTATACTGTAGGTGAAATTAAATTTGTGAAATATGTCATTCGCAACTATTTTAGGTTCAGTTGTGATTAAATTCAGATGATTGTGTTCCTGTTATGATGTGAATATCTGCTTGAATTCGGTTTTATTTATACTTTATAGTTTATCAGTCAATTTGCAGACCTTTTTTTATTTAATAGATATTTGTCATGTTTTAGGCAGAAATTCCCAATATGAATTGGTTTTACCGTCTTAGTTGTGATTATTACTTCTTCTTCTATGATAAATAGATATGATGAAAGGTTTGTTCAGTTGCTGGGAGCAACAACTGAATGTGAATATCTCTACTTGAGAGATTTTAGAAAGTGTAACATTTCAAGTGCATGTTTTTATTTCCTTCTAACATTTTATGGGCCCAAAAAAAGTACATTAAAACCAAACTATTGCCAGGACTTTTGCTTTCGCCTGCAGCAGAATGTGCATCACAGAAATACTGATTCAAAAATGCTTACACGACAACACCACTTAGACCCATAGATCTCCGCTTGGTAAGTCTATAGCTCTGTGCGGTAAGATTAAAATCTCTGCCCTTGCTCTGAGGTCTCATTTCCAACCTGAACAATTAATCAATGCCTTTGAGCCGCAGCTCATATTCACGTAATAAATGATAGCAGTGCCCTATTTAAAGCAGGTGAAGTAATTGGGGAATATGGACATCAATATTTCATATTTGGACGGCGGCAGGACAAGATGGATGCTCCTCTCGACCCTCTTCCTTTCTCCCTTTGTCTGTTCCGTTGTGTGCATGCACTGCGGTGATGTGCGCGCTGCGCTGGGGTCGGCCCGTAATCCAAGCCGGGGCGAGTCTGACGGAGCAACACAAAAAGTGGGGGGAAAAACAACATACTTCCTTCGCTCCGTCCCACTTTGCGCTATTATTACCGTCGAGGCGGGCGGGTCACAGGGAGAGCGAGGGAGGGAGAACCGAGCTTGATGGAGGAGGAGCAGGAGATGAAATTACACCTGTTCTGGTGGCTGACTAACGACTTTGAAATGCGAGCGGACCTCCTCGCCGCCAAAATCATTTTCCCAACAATACGGCCTGATCTTTAAACAAGCAGAACTGGGACGCTGACGCGACGTGACGTGCTGAGGCTCCGGCGGACCCTCCGGCTCAGTGTGTGTGTGTGTGTGATTCAGAAAGGCCGTGCATTCACACACACACACTTCCTAAATTGATGTCTTCATCCAGCTTTGTTTCTAATACTCATTCACTGCTGACTGCTGCCATATGGTTACTGTACACTCACTGAACCACATCTGCTACCACACACACACACACACTCACCTCACCAATGCACCTCAGACTTTTGTGGCCGACCAAAGGTACCCATGCACACACACACACACACACACACACACACACGCACACTCGCAAATGCACACAGTAGCGTTTCACTCACCATCTGTTCGTTGAGGTCCTGTGAGGCCTCCATGGTTTCTTCGGTTTTGATCCGCCACAAGCTTCAGAGGCGAGAAATGAGAAAATAAAAAGTTGGTCAATGGATAGACAATGAAAAAAAAACAACACCTTTTTCTCTTTACCTTTGCACCGGTTGAAGCATCACCTGTGATGGATTTGTTTTCCCACGGGTGATGCTTGAACATTTGGGTTTGATTTCCTGATCGAAGCAATTAAAACTGTGGATGAAACCCTGCCGCATTCATTTCTTCCTTTTATTCCTGTCTACGTGCATCTGTCGGTTAGACTTTCCGTCACTGTGTTTATGTGTGAGCAACAGGAGACCGAAGGAGGGAAGCGGCAGCGGTAACTTCGGCATATCATCTTCAGCCGAGGGTGAAGTGGAGAGATAATTGCAGAAGTAAATATCAACAATGAAAATGGAGAAGTGTAAAAGATACGGCTGCTTGGCTGCCGCTGGACCGCAGTCGCATCGGCTGCTGAGCCCTGCGAAGACAGTGAGTGACCCTATTAACGCTGGACAGGAGACAGGTTGGCGCGGGGGTCCGGCGCGCCGAGGTGACCGTCGGGCAACTTAAATGAGGCTGGTGACGTTGTGATGCGAAGGAAACGCAGACATTCTGTCCTGGTTTTTTCTTTTCTTTTTAACGCCCACCGTCATGCAAGACGGTGACACTGCAACAAAAGGTCAGCTGAAAGAATGGAGCAGAATGCCTTCCGCCCCAAAAGAACGGCCCAAAATGGCTCCCCTGCGATATTGTGTGAAGGTTTGACGGTTGAACAAAAGAGCGGGGCTGTGAGGACGCACACTCCCATGCAGACACAAAGGTCCTTCCCTGTCATTAGATCTGCACGTTCCCAGCAGGTGTGCGGTAAGGAGCTTCTCTGCCCCATGGAAATGTTTTTGTGCGTTTCTCTAAATTAAATCACTCTTTTTACGCCACCACATTGAAACACTGTCAATTCTAAGTGAATTTATCCTTTTTTTTAATGTCTGTGTGCACGCTCAGTGTGTGCATGGATGTACATGACTGCAGGCCAGAAAGTTAAATGCCAATTTAATCTAAAAGTGTGTATCAAACATCAAGAACATTGAATTAGGGCCATATTTGATTTTCGTGTGTGCATGCACGTGTGATTGTGCGTGTGTGTGTGTCCTGGAGTTTTCTGGCTCGACCCTTTAAACTAACTGGCATCCTTTTAATTTTTCATAGGGATCAGCTCCTCCTCGCCTGAAACCGAAGACAATAATGCGTCTCTCAGGTGAATTGATTTGTGCCCAAGCCTCCCCTCTCCTCCCCCTCCTTCCCCTCTCCCTCCCTCTCCCCCATACAACATAATCTTCTTTAGTATGGATGCGGTGACCATTAAACACACTATAAGTCAATATTAACCACCGTTTAATGAAAGAGCCTTTTGGACCAGTCAGGTTATCAATCTTAGATCATGTCTTTTAAAAGATGAATTTACGCTTTTGATTTTCTTAGAAATCGTTAACTGCTCCCTTTGCCCACGTCTTGTGTCATGCGCACGCGTGCACGCCTGCCTCCCACGGCCCTAAAGCCAGTATAGCTACCTGACACTGCACTGGGAATCAATAACGCCTGCCATTTCCTTCGGCGTCCCACAAGAGAGAATTAGATTCCTCGCCATGTGGCCATCGACGTGGGAAACACACATGGGACGGCGCGGGATTGGAAGGTGGCCCACGCGGACACACTGCGCTCGTTCCACGCTTTAAAAAGTGCTGCCGGATGGAATTGGTCGCAGTGAAAGGTCACATGTTCCGACATTCCGACTCAAACTTGATTGACTGAGGAATCGTTTTTTACGCACGGATCGATTTTTTGTTGTTGTTTTTGGCAAAGTTTTAAAGGCGCCGATTAGTATTACTAATAGTACTAATTATGATTAGTATTCTCCATGAAAGGTGCAGACACGCTTCTTCTCTCTTGTTGACTTTCTATTTTCATCAACCGGTCCATGTGCTGCATATACGTACGAAACAATATGTGTTCTTTTTTTTCAAGACAAAAGTCGAATACAAATTAAAGGTAAAAGGACTGCGTCAAGTCAATACTGCCTGAGTAAAATATATTTAAATATTGACAAGAATAAACAAGTGCTTTTTTCAAATAAAAAGTGCAGAAATGTACAGGGTTAAGAAATAGTCCCTAATAAACGGATAGTTTTTATAAATATGTGTATATTTAGGGGAGAAAACTTTAGCACGTTATATTTTTCTCATAATGGAAAATCGGCCTTTTCACATGAAGTGCAATTTATATTTTAATTCCAAAAACAGATATTAAATTCAAATAAAATACTTCGATTCCAACCTCATAATAATTTCCCCCAAATCTCCACACACCAAAACCGTCCACCCATCTCTCTTGCGCATTAATGCGCATTGGTTAAATATGAGTCCTTTATGTGACATCTGATCCGTGGGGATTGCGTTGCCGTGGACGTAACTTGTTATGCTGTTAGTGGCAGGCCAATAGCCAGCGGCCATTCGAGTCCTGAGAGCTCGGCCACGGTGTAAGATTCCCATTTCCTACATATCAAATATAAACACAACGTCCACGTGGGATGAGAGGAGATGGGGAGAAAAGGTCGTGGGCACACAGAGGGATGCTGGCAGAACACAGACGGGCCAATAAACCCCCTCCAGGTGTGATGGAATGCGGATTAAAAACCGAATTGATCTGCAGTAGAAGCTCAGTGGCAAACAAGAATCAGCATTAAGATGAATTTATTTTATTGTTCTTTGACAAATACATCAGAAATGTTTCATCAACAGCTTTGCATGGATATGGCGTCTAACTGAAATAAGCTAAATCATATTTGTACCGATCTATAAAAAGTATTTAAGTGAAAATGGGTCGGTGGATAAAATATATTGAGGTAGTTTTGATCTTAAGGAAATCTGGAAACTGAATCGTAAGAAAATTGGACTTCAAATTAAATATTGTAATTGTCTCTTTTGACAGACTTATTTATGGGTGCGCAATTCATAAATAATAAATTCACAAAATTGCCGTGCTTTTCAAAATGAACTTCCTTGCAGAGAGATGAATATTTAAAATAAAGTACTATTTGAATAACAATTCCCGACTATTAGATGCTTCATTTTTTTCCTCCAAGTTAGCATGAAATCAATCCAACGGAATCCAAAAATGCGTAACGAACATCCGTCGGAGCACAACGACGCGCGCGCAACTGTCAGCCAACGCAGAAACAAAGTCCACGTACCTGCGTTAATATTACTTTCGTCCCAACAACGAAGCTCCCAGGTTCCCTTCACCTCTTGGAAGCGCTCATGCTCAAATGCACAGAGATCTGCGCACAGCTCTCCCTGCTGTCTGCGCGCGGTCACTGACCGGGTCGGGACTCTTCAGCCATCACGTGCGCGACTCCTAAAAAACGAGCCCGGGGAGTTGATCGGCCTCGGTTAAACTATTTTTTTTCCTTCACACGCTTTAAACCGGCGTCACGGCTCCGGGTGTCGCTGAGCGGGGCGGCTCGTCTCCGGACACCATTGTTTTCCGGCCCGCGTGCAAGTTTGAGGCTGCGGGCTGTTCACACGCATTTGGCTCAACTTCGTTATTTGAAAACCGTCTCGCTGCGCATGCGCTCGGCTGCCATGCGGACACAGTTGGGAAAGTCTCCAAAGGACTAATGGGGTTCAGAGGGGTGGGAGGGGGTTGAGGGGGGGGGGGGATGCCAAAATGACACTCTTATTAATAGATTGGTCCAAATGACGTGCTCGCAGTTTTATTTATCCCATCAGAGCAAAAACAACATGCACCCACTGACCAGATTATCCATTTATCTATCTATCTATCATATCCATCACAATTATACACTAGTATTAGTATTACAAGTAATAGTCTAAAACTGTTAAAGCTTTTACTTTACTATTAATATATGAGACAACTCAAATGACGACTTGAAACAGCCTCAACAGAGAGCCATTTTAAAATACGCAGCAGAACACATATGATAGGAGACATCATAGTAAAAGTAAAGTGAATAGGACATGCAGAGAGAGAAAAAACATGATGCTTCTATTTAAATTGAAATATAGAAGAAATGCTGTACGGCCGTTCGAATGAAAGGTAAAGTACATGCAGGGTAAACAAACCAAACGAACGTAGCTGAAATGAATTGTGTGAGAGTAAAGTTGCACGGCGCTGTGCCACACTGGTCCCCGAAGATGACAGATTTGACCGCAGTGCGTAGTTTATTTTGAAAAATGAAATGTTTGTTGGGGCTTATGGAAGTTGTGGCTGTTGGATCCCGTTGGCCGCCTATCAGCGCTCTTTCACCATGCTGTCATTTATTTGGGACGAGGATGTCAACAGTCTTTGACAGATCCCAATTGTTTGGTTTGAGATCTTGCAGACTCACACAAACACACACATACAAACACAAGCTTAGTCGTTCTCCTGCTGTTTTGTCCCACATATGCACACAAATGCAATTTGTTTATACGATTCAAACAAATAGAGCCAACGTTTCCCTGGCAGCACACACAATCACTGAAAAAAGAAGCTCTTGTTGTTGGCACAGTGGCTGGTCGACCCAGAGAGAGAGCAAGAAAATAAAAAACAGGGATCAGAGGAAATCATATTAATAATAATATACATTTTCTTACTTTCATTCTCCATTTGTCTGCATAGGAGCTGGAGATCATCCCAGCTGCAGCAAAAACAAGGATGCAGTATTGATGAGGTCATACATGTGCCAGTGGCTCAACTCGCCGTATCAGATATTATGAACCTGAAGATTTGTGAAGCTGAGACTGGGTCCTCTAAATAAAACAACAAAATATGTCATTTATCTCTACGCCTCTATAGGCCGACACATCTTTGGACATGACTCCCCGAGAACAACATCGGGCCTTTCCCTTCAAAAAAAAAACACGGATCACTTCGGAAAAACAAACCGCATTAATGGTGCTGCAGCACAAAGGCTTGCATGAGGTGCAACATTCACTCGGTTAAGGGAGAGATTGTGGTTTGGATGACAATGACTTCATTACTTCATTAAGGTTAGCGGAGCTTTATCGTCATGGTTGCGATAATAAACACATGGTCAAGGTTTGGGATCGATTCCGGTCATGCTTGGACAAAAACGACGTTGACAGTTGGGTGGAAACGGGAAACAAATAGCGGTTTTCCCGTTTCTCAGGAAAAGGACCAGAGAAGACAAACCCCTCTCTGGCTCCCCGTCACATTCGATGTAAGTTCTTCTCGCTTTTTTGGAGTGATGAAGCTAATTGAAGAAAAAGAAATGTACAAATTAAAGATGATCAAATCATTATATAAGTAGAAGTGAGATGATCCACTAAAACTACACTTTCAACTGAGAGTAAACGTCTGCTTTGTGTTCCCAAATAAAGCGTGACAGCTTTACTGCAGATTTTTACATTCATTTATTACAGAGGCACTGCAAAGTGACGTGCTTATGCGGGCATGACATCACGTGATGACTGAGGAGTGTGTGTTTTGGCACCTCGGGAGGGTCACATTCGAACCCTCGGCATGGCATGTGGACTGGCACCAGCATTGTAACCGAGAGTGCGAAAAACGATTACTGTGTTGTCGCTGAAGATCATCGAACCAGTAACTCCTTCATGGAATTGTTCCATAACGTTGGATTATGTCAAATGGGACTTTTTGAAAATGAATATTTATATCTTTTATTTCACCAACAGACGACCGAAGCAGCTGCTCCGGCAACTTGCTGCTTTCCAGGCCGAGTTTAATTTAAATGCCCCAACCAAACAAAAGGCGTCATTTGTGCTGCTGAAAGGTTATGATCCCTCAACTGGCTTCCCACCTAACTGAAAGCAATGCTTTCTAGCGGTTCACCGCGGACAGAAAACCCAGAAAAAAAAGAATCTGCAAATGCTAAACAAAAAATATGTGACAATTGTTATGAAGCAACGGTTTGGGGAATTTTCCAGCAGAGTTTACCTTCCGTCACATGATCAGTTTGTCACTAGTCCAGTTTGACTCTTATCCGCTGTGCCCGTACCTCCTTCCCCTCTGGCAGCCGACTCAGGCCTGAACCCTGCAGCTCAGTGATTGACACATTCTGGCAGAATAAATTAAAACCTCAAGCTGTGACAGATCCCGGAATAGCAGGAAGCTGCCGCTGACCTAAAGTCTCTAGTGCCACATGTCAGGGGGCTTAAAAAACTTGGCAGAACATTCTGCACAAAAGAAGCATGTGCAGGTGTTTCTGGTGTACACAAGTCAACAAGCACTCATCCGCGTCGAGGCTTTACCTTCACTCGCAGCGTCAGGAATTAAACTGAATCCATCTGGCCCGGTCTCACTTCTATATACAAAGTTTGGCAAAAATCAATCTCAGATTGTCCGAATCAACTGAAACCACTCTGGAATTTAAGGCAGTGGCAGATGGATCTATTTTTTCAGCCAGCTGTTCCCCCGGAGGACGACTCTGGGGTGGGGGAGGAGGGGGGGGTCTAAGCTCCAAGATGTTTAGTGGCCTAGGGCTGCGGCCGCCTCTGCCAAGTCACAGAGCTCCCGGTTCTTGCCAAGCAGGGGGTGGGCGCGGGAGAAAAGGCCATTTAGCTGGCCGGTATTTATAGATATGTTAAGAACTCGTGCTCAGGCCGGGCCGAGGTGCTGACGACGTAAAACGAGAGGACGCTTCCAGAAGTCGAGTGTCAGGGCACACAGATAAAAATACCCGGTGAAAGATGGGCCTGGTCATTAGTGGCGCGGTCTGGCATGTGACATGGCAGCATTTCAGAGGTGATTTATGGTTATTACTACAGCTAACCTATACCTCTCCCTTTCCCGCCCGCACCCTTCATCCCAAATTGGTTTGCCAAATGCCGAATGGTGCACGGGGGTTTATTTCGGGGGGCGCGGCCCGCAGAATTTTTGACTTTGGCGAAGTGCCACAGTCGGGTTTCACGTTTGATCACAATATCAAAAGAAACACAAAAGCGGTGTTTAAATAATCCGTCCTGTTAATTAAGACGCCGCTGCACAAGTCGAATGCACGCTACATTCCCGACAAAGATGCAGGTGCAGGGGTCATTTTTTTAAATTTATGACCATGTTTAAAACAGCGTTCATATGACATCACTTACTGTTGGAAGGTCAATCATTCGAATAATTCTGCATAAAAATGATGTGAGAGATAGACAGGGAGGAATAATGAGCTCATTGCACAATGCTGGCTTCCCTAATTGCCGGAGCGAGCTGCCACTGGGAGGAACAAAGGAAACATTTAACACATCGTAAATTCCTGTAATGTCCTGCTGAGGAGCTGCTGCTCCAGTTACACTTGCAGATTTTTTTTCACTGACAGAAAGAGACAAATATGATACGGTAAAAAACAGCTGAAGCAACATATGAATTAGACTCTTTCTCCACGTTTTAAGTTTGCTTGTCAATGACCTCGTGCAATCATTGCAATATTTGATATCCTTTTATTAAAAGCTTGACAAAATGATTCCCGCCATTAGCTATTTATCATGCACGTGAAGATCATGACTGATGTTTTCTTCTCCTCACTCGAAATAGGCTATCTTGAATACCGAGCCCCCCAGATTTCGACGTCTAAAGAGCTTCTTCTGTTTCTCCTGTGCAGCCGAATGCTGTTAAGAGAACGCATGAGCAGTGCTACAATGTCTCGCCGAATTCCTTCCCGGCCTTTTTCGTCCCTCATGGCAAATGATGGAGCATATGCTTTACTTGCCTAGATGGTGATCAAGTGTGTGAGAGCAGTCGAGGGAAGAGATGGAAAGAGGGAGGGAGGGAGCGAGAGAGTGTCATTTGGTCTCACATTTAGCTAGGAGGGTCTTCACAGTACAGTGTCCCACACAGAGGTGAACACCGTGCGTGTGTGTGTGTGTGTGTGTGTGTGTGTGTGTGTGTGTGTGTGTCATGCTGCATGTGTGCAGGTTTTCTTTGGGAGGTTTTTGGGGGACATCAGGCCAACAAAATGAGTTGGCCATCAGCTGCGCTCCGGCTTTCATTCGCTCCCAGCCGCCGTCCACTTTTTCTTCCAGCTCCCTCCGACTAATGGCGGCTGAGGGCGGGTTTTACTGCACCACCCTCGGGAGGCTACTGTGGCCAGATCCAGAACACTTGGCTTTATGTGGATTGAATGTTTTATGGTTATGGACATAATATTTAAGTTTAGGAACAGTCTCACATGAATCCACCCCCGCACCACTGTCCCCCAGCCTTAATAATAATTACCCCAGCATACGAAAGGACAAAGTTATGTTACTGAACCTATTCTGGTACAAAATGTGGAACTAAGTAGATCTACTTAAGTACTGTACTTGAATACATATTTGAGTACTTCAACAACATTTCAGAGGGAAATATTGTGTCCTTTGTTTTCTTTTCCTTCAATCATTTGGAGGTTTTAGTGACTTAATCCAGACATAAAAGCACATAGAAAGTATTGCTATTTTGCATTTTTGGTACTAAAAAAGTATTTCATGGTTCTATTTTAACCAGTATATGCTGCACATTTCTATTTCTCTATTTCATCCTTTTTTTTAATATATATTGTTTGCACTGTTGGCTGTAAAATAATATTATATTCAAATATCGTTTTCACAAACCAAACAAACCATCCATTAATGGAAGAATTTATTAGTTATTATGAAAAATTAAAAAGAGCAATAGCTACAGATCTGAAAGATTGGCATGCATTCTGATAATGTACTATACAGTATTATTACAGTCAGGGGAATTTTATGAATTGGATACTTTTACTCTATATACTATACATACTTTTTACAGATTATACTTGCCTATACTGTCACTCAATTTACAGGACCTTTAATCCCAAAGTAGTATTTTTAAAGCACAGTATTATAATACTTTCGCTTTGGATCCATACACTTATCCATATAACTGTCTCTTCCGTGAGAGATGCATATAACTGTTTCCTGTAACTCAATAGTGATGGAATAGACACGCTGACTGTTGATGCAGAAATGCTAAATCCTTTTTTGAATTGTTCCCCCACCTCTTCATGTTATGCGTTCAAAGGAGTAAACAGGAGAGAACACAAGCTGACCTGTGCCTGTCCTCTGCTTTAGTGTCTGTATTAGAAAGAGAAAGAGAGAGAAGTGTTGTCCGAGCAGTGTATTAATATTTGCACCATCACACACCGATTGATCTTCATCTGATCGCAGCTCACTGTGACTCCTCTCCGAGGTGTCTAATGCTGCGACTGCTTTACCACAACTATGCCATCATGTGGCACGGATGAGCCAGATGATCCATTTCCTCGTTCTGTGGTGTGACGGAACTGCGCAGAAAAGACGTCAATAACTCCTCCTATTTTGCAGAGAAGTCAGAAAGAAGTTTCAGGAAACAGGCGCCTTAAGATACGCCTTCATTTGAATTCCAAAACAGGGACGTAAATCTAGTAAATAGTTCGCGTTCTATGCCACAAAGAAGTGTTTTTTTTGTTTGTTTTTTCGTTAAAGTAGTCGAACCGTAGCACGTGACTGGTGAGTCGGTGAAAGAGAAACCAACCGAATGGCCTCCAGCACGTCGCTTTCAGAAATGGACTTCACTTGTCCCGTGTGCTGCGACATATTTCACGATCCCGTCGTCTTGTTGTGCGGCCACAGCTTCTGTGAGCACTGTATTCAGGAGTGGTGGACACAGAGCCGCCTGAAGACGTGTCCCGTCTGTCAGGAACTGTTTCCGATGGCGCAGCCCGCGCGTAATCTGGCACTGAGGAACCTGTCCGACGCAGTGAGGCAGGAGAAGATCCAGAGGGCCAACGCCACGTCGGAGGAGATGTGCGATCTGCACGGTGAGAAACTCAAGCTCTTCTGTTGCTACGACCGACAACTCGTGTGTGTGATTTGTAGGGATGCACAAAAACACAAGAAACACAACTGCGTGCCCCTCGACGAAGCAGTCGGACCCTGCAAGGTGAGCACATGTGAAGAGTTTCATGAAAACTGCGCAATAATTCTTCAGGCAAACGTGTTGCTAATCCACTGTGTACTTCCACCCAAACACCTTCCAATTGTACAGGCCCAACTCAAGCTTTCTATGGTGAATTTAAAAACCAAATTGGGCAGATTTAAAGCACAAAAATCCAAGTGTGATAAAATCGCCGGACATATCAAGGTAAGTCTCATACGTGATGGTTGGATCGACAAAGACGTGCTACTTTGATAGAAGCAATGTGGTTCTCCTCCTCAGTGGCAGGCTCAGCAGACTGAGAAGACGATCAAAGAGGAGTTCCAGAAGCTCTACCACTTCCTGCAGGCAGACGAGGCTGCCAGGATCGAGGCAGTGAGGAAGGAGGCAAAGTTCAAGAGTGTAGCAATAGACATCGCCATCGTGAATTTGACTGCAGACATCGCCTCCCTCTCGGACAAACTCAAAGCCGTAGAGATGGAGATGGCAGCTGATGACCTTTCATTTATGCTGGTACTTATTACCTGCCTTGATTACCATTCTGATCTTAGTATTGACTAATTAAAATACATACTGGTATTGATTTGTTTTCCTGTTCTCTCTTTGTTTGACAGAATGTCAAATCCAACATAGAGCGGTAAGTTGTTTACCGAACGCTAAATAAAATGTTGGGTATTTAAAGACATTTGGCTGATAACGGGGGGCTCTCTTATATTCCTTCAGGTCCCAATGCAAGCTACCATACCCAGAGGTTCCATGGGGAGCCCTGATCGACGAGGCCAAACATCTGGGGAACCTGCTGTTCGCGGTCTGGCAGAAAATGAAGAACATTATCCAGTACAGTAAGCAAAGTGTTTCTGTTTTGTTAATATTGTTTTGTGTATATTTATATGACTTCAGAACCGAATCACCAAAGAAACACCACGTTGTTCTCAAATTACACCTTAAATCAAACATTTACCTTTTTTTCTATTATAAGCATCTGACCAAAGCTCCCTCTTTGTTTCTATATTGCATCTGAAGCTCCTGTTACTCTGGACCCCAACACAGGCAGCTCACGAGTGACCATATCAGAACACATGACCCGCTGTGCAAAAAGCTACAAGAACCAGCCGCTCCCCGAAAACCCAGAGAGAACGTTGTGCTCGGACGTTCTGGGCTCTGAAGGTTTTAGCTCTGGTGCACACAGCTGGGACGTGGAGGTGGGCGGTTATTGGTTCCTCGGTGTGGCTCCTCGAACCAATGTACGAACCTATGAAAATGTTTGGGGCATCTACATCAACGGTTGTCTTGAACGTCTCTTTGAGCGCGATCAGGGAAATAATTCAAAAGTCGTATCCGAACATTCATTTCCCCAAAACGTCAGGGTGCATCTGGATTATGACAAAGGAATACTATCTTTTTTTGATCTCGATAGGAAAACGCGCGTGCACACCATCAAATGCGCTTTCACGCAAACGGTATTTCCGTGTTTCAGCGAGAACGCAAAAATCCTTCCATATGAATTTTCAGTGAGGACAAGAGAACCCAGATAAACACTCAGCATGGCTGCAGAGAAACAACCAGAAGATGATCAGAACCATAAGCAACAGCAATATGACTTTGTAGCAGGGTTTACCTCTGGGTTTATCTCATTCACCTCAGTAATGCCAACACAGGTCTAAGGTCTCAGTCCTCAATGCTCAATAGATACATTATTCTCACAAGTTTAAAAGGGAAAAAAAGCAGGCAATGCTTAACTCAGGGGTTCAAAACGGCATCAACAAGCCAACCGATTTCCATACATGAGGAATACACAGCATGGTGTGATCTGCGCTTCTGAACAAGGTCGAAAAGTGAGACTTGCAAGATATTTTTAGGGGGCATAATCTCTGAAAGATGCCATTGGGTTGTGTCATGCACAATGGTAAATGAAGGGTCCACTGCTTTTGTGAGGTTTGACCACATGAACAAAGGCAACTGAAACAGAATCTTCAGTTTAATCATGTGATTATGTTGTATAGATTAAGATTAAGTCCATTTTCCAGTTTTCAACATGTTTTGAAGGAGTTCTTTTCTATCTGAACTGAGTGTGTGAGGACGGAGGGTTTTGGCCAAAGTTTTGTGATTTGGGCCTCGTTAAACAAACGTGACTTAACATTTACATGCATCTGTTATCAAATAAAATGTATATCAAATAAAATGTATTTCAAGTAATTACTTGAGCTCTTCTTTACATGCTAAGCTGTTTGGCAATGGAGGAAATAGTTACACTTAGCTTATTCTGTATGGTCTTTGGGTGCGATCACCGACCCTGCAGGGTGTCGACGTTAACGTGGCTCGTCGGATTTCTCCGCCAGGTCCCAATGTCGTCATTAGGAATCTCCAGAGCACACATAACACGGGGATGAATCATTGTGAGGCGCTGACCAACGAGTACTGCCATCTCTCTCTCTCTCTCGTGCACACACACACACACACACACACGGGTCTCAATCCCCGGAACTGATACTGAACCTCGGTGGTGTTACAGCTGGAATGCATGCTATGCTATGCATGCTATGTTTTTTCAACTAATGAAAGAATGAAGAAAAACAAACAGAGGGGCCAAATTAAAAGAGAGTGTTTCGGAGTCTCGTTTCTCAAATCTAATTAAGGTTGGAGATCAAGAGCCGGCAAAACATTTGCCCCGATTGTCCGAGATGAATTTCAAAATTTACGCGTCGCTCATTTGAAAAAGAGAATTGGACACTTTGATGTTTTCATACTTTTATTCCAAGTTTAATTCAAGACTGAGGGGTAAAGGGGGGGACTTGGCATAAAGTACGCAACCTTTTGTGTTTATGGGCATAGATATCAAAATTGAAATGGATCCATAAGCGTTACCTTCAAAGCAACTGAGAAATGATGGGTCATATTTTATACTGTGGATTAAATACTGTGTGGATTTTTGATTTTTTTCTCTCTCTACAAATCATTAGTCCTGTATAAACCATTACTACAGCTCAAAGGAATGGCAGCCAACCAGCGTGGCCAACTCTTTTCTTTCCTTCTCAGAATGCCCTTTGAGCGATCAATCACTCGATGTTTACCAGAGAGCACCAAGGAGCCGCTGAGTACAATACGTCACATGTTATTTTACTGAAAGTCCTCTTTTTTTCTCTACTAATCACATGAAATAAACACATTCATTTATGGAATTGCTAAGTGCTGGATAATGTTTTTGTCGCCGTGTGGAAACCACCTTTGTCCCAGAACATTCTAGAGAGAATCTATCGATTTAAACAAGCATTAAAGTATTAAACCAAAAGGCAAACGAAAGTCATTCTGGTGTGTGTTTAGTGTGCGTGCATCCTGGTGGTCAGAAAGACAACGCGGCTCGGAACTGGGGCCAAAACAGTGAGCAGATATCAAGTTAAGAGACAAATAGAAAGAGGAGTCAAAGGCCTGAAGGTTGGAGACAGAAGACAAACGGTAGTTTGAGTTGACATTTGAAGAGGGGTACACGTGTATTGTGTGTGTGTGTGTGTGTGTGTGAGAATGTGTACCTGAATGCAGTAAAAATGCAATGCGTGGATTCAAGAACACACAGATGGAAACTCACGCGTGCGCTTCTACGTGGATGTTTTTCCATCTGCTCCTTGTTTTCAGGTCCCATCTGGTCACTTTCTGCTCGTGTTATTGTGGTCTGGATATCTTCAAGAAAAAGACTCCAAGTATATGATGTTGTCATTTCGCTCTCTCTCTCTCTCTCTCTCTCTCGAAGGCTTTATTGTTTTGTTTGGCATTTGTGTTTCGTTTGGAGGCAATCATTGAAGAATTTGAGCAGCACGTGTCCTCGGCAATCATAATCATGAAATCCCTACTGGTCTCTCACACACACACACACACGCACACACATGCCTGATTACTACTGGGTCTGGTCTGTATAATGTTATAGATACAGATTGAGTGTGTCAGTCAGGACCTCACAGTGGGATATAGGGAGAGATGGTTAAGCATTGAAGGAAGGAATGAGGAAAGGAAGGAAGGAAAAGGAAATGCAAGGTTGCACTTTGCGTAAAATGAGGCTGGGAACAGTCTGACAGTTCAGATTGTATTCTTGTTTTCTACAAAATATCTCTACGTAACAAAGCGCTTTGTTAGTGCTCCATCTTCCTCTCTCTAACACACACACACACACACACACACACACACAATTGCGCAGGCCAGCCTAGATGGTCAAGTGCTGTGATAAAGTGCTGTCTAGTGTTCTCTCACTCTGTAAGGCCCCCGAGAGAAGATCAATACTCACTCAGCATCAAGTTACTGCTAATGTCTTCATGTTTTTTAACAAGGCAGTGTGTGCGTGTGTGTGTGTGTGTGTGTGTGTGTGTGTGTGTGTGTGCGCGTGCATCTGTCCCTGGTGTGACCCAAGTTATAATTATCATTAAATGTCAATGAAGGCAATGGGAAGAGCAAGACTGCTGCCTCACAGCGCCTCCTAAGGGCCGTCCCTAGCAGTTGCAGCCTCAGCGAAGGACGCGTTTGCTTCTGGGAGAGACGAGAAGACGCATCGTGTCCCGTGGCGGCGATCACTTCCTTTTGACCTGCGACTTCAATGAGAAGGAGGCCTTCACGTCACATATCCGCCTCATCCACTCCTTTCAGATACTATTTCAATTATGTTGCTGAGTCATACAGGATAGTTAACACATTAATAATACATGTCCGCCCTGCTGAATCAACAGGTATACATTAACTTGAATGGATACTCTGGATAGCGATCGGTGCGGTTAGCGCTTCGCAGGGTTGTAGAATGCATGTCAAATTAATGCCGGTCAACGGTCAAACATTTCATCAAAATCTAAATATTTGAATAGTAAATAAGTTGAATAAGTTAAATCAAATAAGTTGATCAGTTTTAAACAAATCAATGGTTTATCCAAACCAAAACAAAACACTTTCTTTGGTGGTAAAACCCCAAAATGAGCACAGTGTAGATTGAATAGGTCGTTATTCAAAGTGCAGGCCGTTGTCTGTGGAGACGGGGTCGAAGAGTGTCGACCTGAGGCCGAGGGTGTGAAGAACGAGGAGCGCGTGGATCTATTTGGGCCATTAAATACACAATCTACCCAACTCACTTTTTTTTCAGCAACAAAAAAAAAACGGCGTACATCATTACGATGCAAAAAAGTGGCGCGGCCCATTAACGCCCTGTTTCATGTGCTCTCCTATCTCCTCCCCTCTCTGTCGCCCCCCTCTCTCCCTCACCCTGATGTCCCATGGCCTTCTTTGCAGGCCCTCTACATTTTTGGGCGTAACGTGACCCCCCCCCCCCCTCGTTCACCCCAGGGTGGTCCGCTCCTCTGATTCAAACAACAAGCCAGGGGGGGGCTGAATGGAGGGGAGGCGGAGAGGGGAAAAGGCTTTTGGGAGAGGATGGAGAGGGCCGGATGATGTGTGTGTAAAACAGTCATCAAATCTCATCCTTGTTCATTCATGTCCCACACCGACGGGTGCACGTGCGCAATGCACCGCCCCTGGCGGGCGGAACCTGTGCGTCGGTATCGTACCTGCACATGCGGCAGCTGCTCTTGTGTTCAGCGACCAACGTTGTCTCAAAGCAGCATTTCCATCCGAATTTTATCCGAAGTTTTTAGATACGCTTTAAATAAACACCTTTTATAAAGCGTTGGTTTCATACATCATTTTAACATTTCTTAGGCTCATGAGCTGCTATTCAAGCAAAAAGGCAGAAGGTAGACCTCAGTAGAATTAATGTAACCATTCTGAGGTATGTAACTCCTTTGTTTTAATCCTTGAATTCACTTTGATTCCTCTCATTCTTTGTTCTTTATCTCTTTTTTGTTCTTTCGTGGTTCTCATCATCTCCCCTGTTTCATACCCCCTCCTTTTCTGCCTCAGGTTGTCATCCGCCCCTTCCTGCCATCATGTTTCTTTGCCATAGGACGTGCACACACACACACACACACACACACACTCTCTCACCTATACATACCACTGCGGTGCCCCAGACAGCCCTCCACAATGTGGATGCCCCGAGGGAGCTTGGGTAACTTAGTCCCCTCTATCTGCCAACTGCTGTGTCACAAAGAGGCTCGCATTACACACACGCACACACACACACACACGCACGCACAGTCGTTGCCATAATCAAACACACACTTGGATACACAAGCACATACTCGATATCTAGACACGCTAATGCGGTTGATTATGTGACACGCGCACACTCACGCACCCTTTTGCTGAGTCTCATTCATTGCTCCAAATTGAGGCTTACAACAAGTGAAAGAGAGGATTAAGAGAAGGGCACAAATTGAAACGGAGCTAACGTCCTTAAACCAGCGGCTTTAGGAGGTGTCCCTCGCTCATTGCTGCACACGTTAACACCAAACACAAACTTCCTTTCCAGCAATTTGCGCTGATAAAGTTATTTATACAAGAACCGTCACTTTTTTCCCCCTGAATTAAGTGATTTTTTTGATCAACTATTTGAATAAAAATAATTCCACCCTCACATGTCACCTCTCTGAGTGCAAATGTGTTGCTTGTGCAAGCAAGTCTTGGTTTGTGTGTATGTGGGTGCTTGCTTGAGTTGGAACTTGTTGTTGTTGGCTGCAGGACTGAAGTTTAGCTCCAGTTTGGCTTCAAACTCCAAACCTCAGACCTTTACACGCACACACACACACACACACACACACACGGAGTGGTTTGTTAAAGTGTTCGGAGGGAATGCTGTGGTCACACCTGGGAATGCTCTTTCGGCTAACCTGACTTAGGTTTTTGCCTTCTCAATCATTTTCTCTCTCTAGTGGTGGAAAGTAACAAATCACATTTACTGAACTCGTGTTCACTTTTCCTTTTGAGCAGACTTTGTTTATAGAAATAAGTGTTCGGAGTACTGTAGCTTTTAGGACAAAACCAATATGGATTCCCAAATATTGTCAATAAAAACCAAGTGTTCTTAAAAGCTGTGTGGAACAAGAGCGCGTTTCTTTTATAATGAAATGACAGCTTCTTGGTCTAAAGGCATCTAACGGTAATACTATAGATTCTATTACGATTACTCCGTAAAATCCCTCCTAAATGAATGGATCACGCAGTCCTGAGGGCAAAGCCAGTACTGGAGGTGGTGAAAGGCCCTTGCACCCCTCCCTCACACACACACACACACACACACACACACACACACACACACACACACACACTCT